TGTCAATTCCGGCCCATGCTTAGCGTTCCATCTAACCTTCACAATCGGAATGCGACTATGTTTGTACACTTCACTTCCTTATCCATTATCTCGACCGGTTCTTCGATGAATAGAAGATTCTAATTTAATTCGATCTCTTCTATAGGAATATAAGGGTTTCATCTGATAAGAAATTTTTCAAGTTTGAAACGTGGAACACAGTGTGTACGTTGCTAAGCTCCGCAGGTAGCTGCAAGTTATAAGCCACCGGACCAATTCAGGCAAGAATCTCGAACGGCCTGATGTATCTATGATTTAGTTTTCCCTGTTTCCCAAATCGGATCATTTCTTTCTAGGGAAAAGACCTTTAATAGTACTCGATCTCCGACTTGGAATTCCATAGGTTTTCATCATTTGTTAGCATAACTCTTTTGTCGGTCACGCGACGCTTGGATTTGGTCTTTGATTTGGATTATCTTCTCTGTAGTTTCCTGAATGATTTCTCTTCCCGTAAGGGTGATGCTTAGTGATTGCCCTCTTGCCAATTGTGTATCACCCAACTCAGCCCAGCAGAGAGGCGATCTGCATTTGCGACCGTATAAGGCCTCAAAAGGAGCAACCCTTATACTCGTGTGATAGTTGTTGTTATACGAGAGTTCAATCAAAGGCAAGTGGGTATCCCATGACTTGCCGAAATCGATCACACAGGCTCGTAGCATGTCTTCTAGTGTTTGGATGGTTCACTCACTCTGGCTATCCGTTTGAGGGTGATAGGCAGTGCTCATGTATAGTTGTGTCCCCATAGCCTTCCGGGGTGACTGCCGAAACCGTGAAGTAAATCTTCTATCACGAGCTGAGATAATAGATAATGTCACTCCGTGAAGTCTCACAATCTCTTTGATATAAATTCATGTTAATCTTTCCATCTTGGCTTCAAAGTTTTTATCCATCCCACGTAGTGTTTCATTTTTGGCGTTATCCGGATTTAATGCATCTACTTGGGCTCCTTTGATCTGTGAGGTTAGGTTAGTGTGGATGGTTATTGATAATGTCTTCACCTGCCGACCTGAGTATTCTTTCCTAATCAGGGAATCGACTACCACATTAGCCTTACCTGGGTGGTACTTGATCTCACATTCGTAATAATTTAATAGCTCGACCCACCTTCGTTGCCTCATGTTCAGCTCCTTTTGGTTTAGAATGTGCTAGAGGCTTTTGTGATCGGTGAAGATGGTGCACCTTGTACCGTAGAGGTAGTGCCTCCAAATATTTAGGGAGAAGACCACAACTCCCAGCTTGAGATCATGGGTGGTGTAATTTACCTCATGCGTCTTTAATTGCCTGGATGCATAAGCTATCACCTTCCCACATTGCATGAGGACACAACCTAATCCTTGGTTCGAAGCATCGCAGTAGACTATGAAGTCTTCAGTCCCCTCTGGTAAGGATAGCACCGGTGCACTACTGAGGGCTCGCTTCAAGGTTTGGAAGGCAACTTCGTGCTTTTCCATCCAATTGAAAGATATGCCTTTTTGTGTGATGGTGGTGAGGGGTTTGGCTATCTTGGAAAAATTATGGATAAAACTTTGGTAGTATCCCGCGAGACCCAAGAATTGTTGGATTTATGTTGGTGTCTTTGGGATCTACCAGCTTTCCATGGCCTTGATCTTGGAAGGATCTACATGAATCCCTTCCTTACTGACTACATCGCCTAAAAAGTTTACACTGCAAATCCAGAAATTGCATTTGAAGAGTTTTGCATATAATCGCTCATCTCTTAGATTTTCCAAGATTTTACGGAGATGTTGACCATGCTCCTCTTCACTTCGGGAGTGTATAAGAATATCATCGATGAAGACAATCACAAAATTATCAAGGAATGGTCGGCAGACTCGATTTATGTGGTCCACAAATGCTCCGGGGGAATTTGTTAGACCGAAGGGCATCATAACAAATTTGTAATGACCGTATCGAGTTCGGAAAGCAGTTTTTGGAATATCCTCTTCTAGGACTATAAGTTGATGATAACCGTATCTTAGATCTATTTTTGAGAAGTAACTAGCTCCTTGCAGCTGGTCAAATAGATCGTCAATCCGAGGGAGTGGGTATCAGTTTTTGAGAACGAGCTTGTTCAATTCCCTATAATTGATGCACATCCTGAAGGATCCTTCCTTTTTATTGACAAACAAGACCAGAGCTTCCCAGGGTGCGAATCTTGGTCTGATGAATCCTTTGTTCAACAATTTTCTTAGTTGACTGGATAGCTCCTGCATTTCGTCGGGAGCTAACCTTTAGGCTGATTTGGCAATTGATGTGGCTCCTGGTATTAGGTCGATTCGGAATTCGACCTGTCTCTCTGGGGGTATTCCCGGAAGGTCTTCTGGAAATACATCTGGGAAGTCACATTCCACTAGGATGTTTTTCTTCTGCAGGCACTTTTGAGTCTTGATGCACGAGATAAGACAAAGATTGGAGCCAAGTTTATCACCATAGATTATTAGGGTTTCATGATTGGGGAGGTGTAGATGGACGACCTTCTCACGACACATAATATCAGCATGGTGGGGGCTTAACCAATCCATGCTGATTATCGCATCAAAACTCCTAATATTTACTAGCATCGAATCTATTTGAAATGAATGGTTGTTTAGTGTTAATGTGCACCCTATATAAACATCTTTGGTTGTTTCGATTTTCCCATTATCCATCTCCACCATGAAGGCTTCGTTTACCTTCTGGGGTTGTTGATTTAGTAAATGTTTGAATTTGTAACTAACTAAGCTGCGCTCAGCTTTGCTATCGAACAAGATGCATGCGAAAGTGTTGTTAAGTGGGAACATACCAGTGACAACCGTCGGGTCTTGAACTGCTTCACCTTGACCTAACGTCTATACGCTCCCTGATCCTCATGTCCTTAGTTGTTGGATTTAGGGAAATCACGTTTCAATTGACCAGTTCCTCCACACCCATAACAAGTGTAACTGGCCCTAGCATTATTGTTGTTGTTGTTGTTATTGTTATTGTTTGGCTGTTGATTCTGTTGAGGCTGAGTTCTGCAGTATCGTGTGGTATGACCCTTTCAGTTGCAACTTGTGCAATGCATCTCCCTACATGCTCCATGGTGATGAAAACTGCATTTGTTACACTTGGTTAGGGTCCTTGTGTATTGTTTGTTAGTAGTTGGTGTAAATGAGGCTGGAGCATGTGGTGTTGTGGTAACATGAGAAGTAGCAACATGGAATACTACTGTTTGTTGCTTCTTTGCTGACTCTTGGGTTTGTCATCCTTTTCGCTTGTTGTTCTTGCCTTTCTTGTTATCACCTTCCTTTTTAACTTCTGTTTCCCCGACTTTGGCACCCTTTTTGTTTCCATGGTCGTATAACTTCTTGGCTAGCCTTTTAGCACTATCGTACGTTTCCAGGTTCACTGCGATTACATTTCCATGAATTGGAGCGGCCAATCCCCAAATGAATCTTGCAATCTTCTTTCCTTTAAATGTGATCATCCCTGGACACAAGAGTGACAACTCACTAAACCTCGATATGTAAGTATCAATGTCGGAGTTTTGGACTGTGAGGTTCACTACTAGAAAAACAGCCTTTTACGACGCTCATTGCGCGTCGTAAAAGGCTCAGACGACGTGCAAATGCGCGTCAAGGAAGGCCCTATCATAAAGAGAGACGACACGCTTTTGCGCGTCATCTATAGATGACGCGCATTTACGACGCGCGTTTACGACACGCAATGCGTATCAAGGAAGGCCCTGTCATAAAGGAAAACGACACGCATTCGTGTGTCGTAACCTTATGACGCGCGTGTTAATGACACGCAATACGTATCAAGAAAGCCCCTGTCAAGAAAGGGCATGTCATTAATGACGATGACACACATTTTTGCGTATCATAATTTTAAATGTTTAAAAAAATATATTTATATATTTATTAACTTTTAAATTAAATTTGCATTTAATGTCTCATAATAGAAATAAATTACCATATACAAAAATAGAATCCATTGCATAAAATTTAATGTCATACAATTCTATTTCATTACAATATATAAATTTGTATTCATCTAATCTACTATGTGTTTCATAGTAACAATTGAAATGAAGAATGCAACACTTGCATTTGCAGCATTTTATCTCTTTTAGCTTGAGCTTTCTTTTCCTCTTCTAACTCCAGAGCTATTCTCTTTCATCAATCCTGTAAAATTAATTCTTATTAAGACACTCTACTTTTAAACCTACCAAGTTAACAGGTAAGATTGCAATTCCAATTGGATTAACACTTGAATGCAACCTTGGGATCCCTTAAGTGAATGCAACATTCATTTATTTATTTGTTTGTGTTTATTATTTAATCAGGCTGTGGTATATTCTAGAAAATGTGTTCAGGCAAAAGTTTTATCCACTTGCAATTCCACTTGGATCAACACCAAAAATACCAAACAAAACTGCAGAAATGGTACCAGTTCTATCCTTCGCCACTACACTCATTATATGTTTGAACCTTCAAAACTTCACCACCAAAATCACCTGAAACACCATACACCTCTCAGTCCTATTGCAAATGAAAACCAAATGTGATAAATTTACTTACCTGCTCCGTTACACTCTCCACGAACCCATCACAACCGAATATTTCCAGCCTCCATCAAGTCACCCTTACCTGCTCACTATCGAAACCAACATCACCAACATCATTAATTGAGCCAGAAAATAGAAAAGCAGGAGAAAAAGAAATAAGAGTGACCCAAGAGGCCAAGACCTTCCTGCTACCAATCAAAACAAGAATAAGGAGAAAAAGAAATAAGAGTTTTTTTTGTTGTTCCTGTGATTTTCGTTTGAAGCAAAATACCAAAAAAAAGTTTTTTGTGTGTTTTTCTCATGAATCAAAAGAACAAAAAAAATCAAAAAACTAGAGGCCACCACCCTCTCAGAGCCTACTGTTCATCATCTTCTTCGTCTCGAACATCTTAAACCTGCAACACAAACCGGAAAATGTTTTGCGTACAAGACCTTAGCATTCAATAAAAGTTGTTGAGCTTAAATCTCCTTCCTTGATGTCTTCATATGCAGCAAAAAAAGAAGGAAAAGAACAGTGTGCATCACCATTGATCCGATTCAGAGGAATATGCCTAAAAGTAAAATACCAACCAACTTAATATATATAGTATATACGGCATAATTACATATCATCATGTATGTATAAATAGATATTATACCTGTAGAAATATTCTAGATCTGTCTCTTCTCTTATATCATGGGGACAACATGCATCCACTACCATTCGAATGTCTGAATCATCCTTCTTAACCACAATACATTCAATCACAAAGGTACTGAATTATAAGAAAATAGGAAAATAAATAAATTATTTATTTATACACAGAAAGTAAATGAGGCATTACTGATTACCCAAGTAAATAGATTATTAAACTACCCTCATGAGCAATCACCCCTTATGAAAAACCCTCCAAAAAATATCCATTTAATTCCAAGTTGCAATGTAGTTAAATAAGATATCTGCACATATCAAATCGAAATCAGATTCACAATGTACATTGTCCATTATCTTCTTTGATATTACATATGCTAAGGACTTATGCACAAGTATTAATCAGCTATGAAAAATGGTTTTATTATTGGACCTATTTAACACATGCATGGACTTATTAAGTTTATTCATGAAAAAGAATAAAATAGAAAAGCACCTTTAGCAAATCTACCCAGTTTTAGCAAATGTATTAAAAATACAAGAGCTGTTGTACCTCAACTGCTCTTGCTTCAAAAAAGTGATCAGGTCTGGGCGCATGACCACCATCATGCTGAAGGATTCTAAGTTTGCCTTCCTACAACCAAAAATAAATAATAAAAATAAAAATATAGACTAAAGTTTTTTTTATTAGATAAAGTACCGACCTTGGTTGCATAAACAAGACCACTTCCAGCAAGAGGATGAAAGCAAGCTACATTGACCTCATCTTCTGCACTCGGAAGCACACTCACAAGTTCCGTATCTGAAACTCTATATACCTGAAACCCAAAACCATATGTTCGAATAATAAACAACCATCAATCAACAAATGTGGATAGAAAATTAGAAAAAAAAAGTAACCTCTAAAACTGTGTAAATGGATAGAAAATTAGACAGAAAAGTGTAAAAGAACACATATGGCACTAAAAACTAAGATTGTTCTTTTGTTGTATGGGGAACAGAGCTTGGAATTCCAAAGGGAGATTTTCAAAGGGGAAATGAAGTGAATGCTTGGTTTTTTTTGTTTGAATTATATATTTTCTAACTTAATTCTCTCTCAAGGCTGCTCAATCCCTCTTTTCTTACTAACTAAGGAATAATGATTTACCAAAATACCCTCCATACTATTATCCTACAGGTTAATTATATTTTCATGTTTTCGCCCACATAAACATATAATCATGATTGGAGTCCAAGATAATGGTTTTTTATTTAAATCGGTAGATAAAAGTAGTGAAGAATGAAAAAGATGCTTGGCTTCTGGATCAAGGGTCGTATAGTCAATTAGTCATCCTAGTGATCAAATTCTTCTTTTCTAACAGCCTTAATCTGGTTAAATAGAAGGTTTATGATTGGGATAAATCTATAACTTCAAGGACATGTGGGTCCCTTTGTGTTTTATTCTATAAATCACAGGCTTATATGTAAGCTCACTAGGAGGAATTTAACTATCAATCATACATCTCCCATATGACTCCAAAGAAAAGATCATCTCTTTTCTCTTCCTCTCTTGATTACATAAGAAAAAAAACTATGATTTCTAGTACTCAGAAGGTATTCATCTTTCTTACCTGTATTGGAATATTAGCAGTTGAACCATATATGGTTTCTGGATTTAGAAACATAGACATTCATCGCACGCTCAAGGCAGTTTCCATGTAGGATCTTCAAGCAAAGCCATCACCTGCGGATTTGAAAGGCAAATTTGATTGATATGATTCAAGTAAAAGACCAGTTCGAAGAGGGTCAGACCCCATCCACAACCGAAGTTTATATTTCAGGATAGATTATAGAAAAGACAGACTTCAGAGGGAAGTCGTAAAACAAAAGTTTATATCCACTAATGATTTTTTTTAGAATTCTGTTATAGGAGGAATTACTATATAGAGTGATGTGCATAATCAGAAAAAGAAGAAGAAGAAGAAGAAGAAGAAGAAGAAGAAAAAGAAGAAGAAGAAGAAGAAGAAGAAGAAGAAGAAGAAGAAGAAGAAGAAGAAGAGTAATTAGGACATCAAAAAAAAGACGTTTAACATAATATAAAAGATAAAAATAAAAACTATAATTGTGGTATACCTTGAAAGTAGACTGTCAAAATTAGAAAAAACTAGGATGTCATTTTCTTTTCTTCATTCAACAATCTGCTTTTTTTTATCTGAATACCCGATAACAAACCTAAAAAAATAAAAAATAAAAATAAAAAAGTCACTTGTGTTACCCCACAATTCTTCTTATATGAACTGCTACAAGTATTATTAAATTTTGAGGGGTAATATTGACCTTTTGGCACAGTTAAGTCTACAAAACTACAGCTTTCTGAAGGATGAGGGCAAAATGGGGATTGAATTATTGCTTGAACTGATCACCCAAACCTTGGGGCATTCCTAAGCTCTGTGCAAGATCGCCCATTCGTGCTTTCATGGCCTAAAAAGGGGTAAAACGGTCAAATTCAAAATATATTACTCCAAGGGTAAAATTGTACTTTTATATTATCATACAAACCTGGACACTCTTTTGATGGGCATCTCTATATGCTTCTGTAATCAGAAGTGACAGTTTCTGCAAAAAAAATCAATGATACAATATATCATTCTTTTACTAATTTATCTGATTTATGAAACAATGTTTTAACATTTAATTCAAAAAAAAAGAGTAAGATACAAAAATATAAAATGAAATAATATAATAAAATTACTCACTTCTGAACCCTTTCCATTGCAGCCTCTGTAATTTCTGTGCGTACAGGTTGCTGATTCCCAGAGAGAGTGACCTAAAGTTGCAGCTCTCAATCCAACAACTTCATGTGCTACATCTTTGTCAACAGCGGGACCCACTATGGATTCCTATTTTATATGATTTCTCTTACCTCCAACATTTTCCTAAAAATGTATAAATAAAGTATTTGTAAAATTATAATTATAATTACATGACATGAAAATGGAATTAGTTACCTCATCTGAAGACTCCAATTCTGATTCACCACTTGAGAGATGTGCAACACTGGAGTTTGTATCTACAGGAGAGGGTGGAGTGGGGGTGGGTGGGTAGGTAGGGGGTAGGGGTGGGGTGGGTAGTTCTGCACGAAATGGGGCTGAAAATTGTGAAACAAAGTTTTTGTGAAACAATAGTCTCTTGATGAGATGAAGTAGCATATTTGTGAAACAAAGCTTTTGAATCTTTGTTTCTCAAGTGATCATCATAGTCCCTTTTCTTTATAGAATCAGAAAAATCTAAAAATTGGTGTGATTATGAGTCTAAGATCTTTATATATATATATATATATATATATATATATATAAAATTAGAAGATATACTGATATACTTGCCTCATATGCACATTGAACTTTCTTAAATGATTCACTTGCCAATGGGTTTGACAAGAAGCACGAGCTGCAGTGCAATTATTGAAGAGATGACTCCTGAATTGTGGGATGAATGCAACATTCCATTGATTCACAGGACCTACCTTTTCTTGCTCATCCAAGGCGGTCCATCTGATTCCGTCTACATCGAGATCGAGCTCCGCCGACTATCCTTCCTCCAGAAAGCAGTACATCACGCCTCAAGGTTTGCTTACACATATGAATCATAATACTTGCATTTCATTTGTTTACTCATACTCATCTTTGTTTGTTTGTTTGTTTGTTGATGGGTAATAAAATCACAAGGGCAATGGATTTGGAGAGGGCGATGCTAAGCAGGAAACTACTGAGGAAATACTCAGCAAAGGAAAGGGAAGGCCTTTTTCTACCAGACCACCTGCAGAAAGAAGCATTCCAACACATGATTTTGATCCTCTTGCCACTGCCACATGCAAAGGAATGGTTTTTTTGCACATTCCTTATGTTCACATCAACTCCAGCATAAGGAATAATATGTTCAAACATAACAGCAGTTAATGGTCCAACCAATTCAACTCATTCATGCCTTTCTGTACATAAAATGTCAACACACTTGAGGAAATTGATGGAAGAATAAATAAATAAATAAATAAATAAATAAATAAATAAATAAATAAATAAACTTACTTTAACTAACTCCAAATCATTAGTCATAGCAGCAGTATGTAGAGTTGTACCTCCATGTTGCGTGTCTTGAGCAGTAGCTTCAGCTCTAACAACAAGAAGAATCTGTACAAGTTCTCTACCATCTACAACATAATTAAATAATTATATATATTTAGGGTAATAAAAACATAATTAAATATATATATATATATATATATATATATAGCAGCAATATGGATAATTATATATATATATATACATACATATATATATATATATATATATATATATATATATATATATATATTGGGTATTAAACAACATAATTAAATAAATATATATAAAAAATACCTTGTCTTGGCTGAACATGTTTATATCTTCGACAATGAAGATGAGGTCAAATCTTGAAAGAATTGTAGTCTGTAAGTCAATGTTATCTTGTGCAGTTTTGAGATCATCATAACGACCTGATGGAGGGTTTGTTGCAGCTAATACAGAAGTCCTGGAATTCAGAATTGTTGTTATTCCTGCTTTGGTTATGGATATTGTTTGTTGTTCCATGGCTTCATGTATGGCAGCCCTTATATGGAAGGGTGTTGTAGAATATTTGTATAAAAAAAGTAAAAAGATAAGAAAGTTACAGTGTTATCACAAATGACAGAAGCAGTAAGCCCAACTGCAGATGAGCCTTTCCTGGAAGTGTATACAACTATAGGAGCAGTACGTACCTAACCTTGTCAAAAACAAAAATGTAATTTACTCAAATCCATATTTTTTTAACTAACATTGTCTTGTAACCATTGCATTCAAAGAGAACTAAGTTTATCATCAAAAAAGGCTACACCTAATTGACTGGTCAATAGTGGAATGTATTCTATATGTGCAACACCATTCATAATATGAAATAATGATTATAAAAAGTTTCGTGGTGTACGAAGGTGTAATTAAGCATTACATATACAAAAAGTAAAAACCAAACCTGCAGAGCAACAAGCAATACCTTGTGTTTTTTTCTTTGTTTATTTCCACTTCTTCACAAAAACACCATTCATTCAAATCAAAACTTAACCAACAAAAACCAAAACCAAAAGAAATCAAATCTCCACACTCACATCACAGTCCACTCTCGTTCGATTCCTACAATAAAAATGATCAGGATGATGATGATTGAGGACATTTACGTCTTTTTTGCACATACAAGAGAGAGAGAGAGAGAGAGATTACAAGGTAAATTGGAGTAGGGTGTGGGTGTTAACGAGGTAACCTCTTATGGCTGAGAATCTCCTTGAGGTGATGATGGAACCTGCTGAGGCGGGCTTGGAGGCTCACAAGATTTGTTGCTTTGCTTGACAACATACAACTTAACTGAGTCACGTAGTTGTTGATAAGGCTTCCTGGTTTATTAGCTTCTGCCAGCAGTTTCATTTCCCGATTTCCAGCAAGGCTATTATGAATTGAACCCTAACATAAAACTCTTACCAAACAAGTTCAGGATGCCAGCGACGGGAAGGAAGAAAAGGATGTTCGCAAGGAGAAAGAAGGTCTGACGCCGGCGAGGGTGGAAGAAGCAGTGGCAACGGCGGCGAGGAGAAGGAAGACCGACCGCAGCGACGGGAGGGGAGCCGGTGATGTCTTTGACCAGAGTATCTGAAGAGCTTGTATCTTCACGGCAAATAAAGCGATTGACAGGCAAAATTCCAAGAAACATGTGAAGATCGAGCAAGAACAAACTCAACAATCAAGTAAAAACAAAAGAACTCACTAATTGGGAAAGAGATAAATCTTGAAGCTCTTACCATGTGAAGATATAGAAAAGATGATTGAAGAGGTCGATTGGGCAGATTTATAAGATCGCTTGTGGTAGGGAGGCAATGAATGGATGAAACAAGCCCTAACAAATCCAGGCGCAAATCCATGCGCAGGCGAGAGGGATGAGATGGAAATACGAGAGTGTGATAGAAAAAATTAGGGTCGGATTTAGGAACCCTAAATCATCGGCTCAAATTGATAACTGGGAGGTAAGAACCCTAAATCCTCAGCTCATTAGGGTCGAATTAAGAGTGTACGAGTTTGTTGGAACCAAGAATTAGGTTTTTGGTGGAGGTTATGGATCGAGGAATTGAGGAAGTTGTGGATGAAGATGAAGGCCCTAATTCGAAGAGGCGGGCAATTTTTGGGATGAATAGGCGGGGTCAATTTTTGGATTTCATTTTTTCCCCCTAAAAACGCGTGTTTCCTAAAAAAATATAAAGCGACACAGTTACACGACGCACAGTTTTTGATAGGTGCCCTCCGTATTTTTTTTCTAACACAAATTTAAGGGCACGCCAAAAATGGGTGTCTTCTATCCTTCAAATTTTGGAAAACTGACATTAATTTTTAGGGCACGCACAAATGCGCGCCCTTTATCCGTGTGTGTCATTAATTGCGCGTCGTAAAAGGCTAT